TCTTCTCTGAGGTTCTTTCAGGCTCTCTTCTAGTCTATCAGGCTCTGCAAGGCTTCTCAGTTCTCTGGGATTCTCAGCCTCTCCACTTCTTTAGCCTCTCCAAAGCTGCTATGGCTGCCTTTCAGTTTGTTCCTTCCTCTCACTGAGGTGACTCTGGAGCACTTTGAGTCTTTGTGCTTGTTTCGTATCCCCCTCACCCCTCTGATCCACTTTCTGAAGAAAAACTGGGTTTTCTGGAGCTGTTTTACTCTTCCTTCAAGGTTCATAGCATCTCAGCAGCTGCTCTTCTTTCTCCTGGGACTTTTTCAGCCTTCCTGCTCGTTTCTTCCCTTCTCCAAGGCTATTCTTTGTTGCTCTTTTAGCCTCTCTCCTCTCTTGGCAGCTGCAGGCATACACTCGTTGTGCTCTTTGAGAATCTCTGATACTGTCTTGTTATTGTCAAGGTCTCTGGTGTGCTCATCGTGGTTCTTTCACACTTTCTATTAGTTCCTTTGCCTCTTTGAGGCTACTTTGTGTTCTCTTGTTCTGCGAGTCTTTTACAGATTTTAGCTCATTTTCCTTTCTTTGATGCTACTCTTTGGGGCAATCTTTCTTTCCTGTTTTTTTTTTTTTTTTGTCTTCTCCTGAGGCCACCATTGGTACTACTGAGTACTCTGGAGCTCCTTTAATATCTCCAATACGTTTTTGTTATGACTGAGCCTCTTCTGTATTCCTGGGGGGGCAGGGGAGGGGGGGCATCTCTTGCATTCTCTATTTCTTTCTTGGCCTTTTTGACATTGCTACATTTTGTTTCCTTGAGCACTTACATGCTTTCTTTCCTTCCCTAAGGCTAGTCTATGTATTCTGAACATCTTTCAGACTCTGTTGCTTTGTTCACTTCTGCTTGGCTCTGCTGTTTCATCTGGGAATCTTTCAGCCCATCTTCTGCTTTCCTGGCATTTGGAGGGCTATTTTGCAATCTTTCTCTACCTCAGTGTTTAATCAATTTTTGCATTTTGTTTGAGACTTCTCGGTGTCCTCTGGATGTCTTTCAAGCTCTCTATTACTTTGCCCTCTCTTCAGTTATTCTATTCTTTGGGCCCCTTGACATCTCTCTTCTGTATTACCAGGCTCTCAAAACCATTTTTCCATCTCTAGGGATTATTCACACCTTTTTCTGTTTTATTAGAGTATTGTTTTTGAAGGAGGAGCAGACAGGATGGGGGGCGGATCTTTTTCAGAACTGCAACAGCTTCAAAAGCTCTGGACTTCAACTGCAATGGAGCTGGACTCTGTGAGGCACCTTTTGAAATTTTTTTTTGTCCCTTTTTGGTTTCGGTGGTGGGGTTAAGAGACAAATGAGCTCAAAGAGGCACCTTTTTAAAAATCCTTTATTTTTATATCATCCTAGTAAAAATCTTTTATATAAAGGCGAAAGTAGGTATTGCATAGAAGAAACACTGGTGCAAACATCACCCGGTGGGAATGGCATGTTGTTTCGTAGTGTCTACTATCTACTGCACAACAGATGGCTAGCCCATAGGCAAACACCTCCAGGTTTCCCCATGCCAGCTACAGGATGAATCTGCTCAACTCTATGAAAAGAAGCTACATCAGAATTATGTGTGCCCTATTCCATGCTGCTCCCAAGAACCATCTGCTGGCAAAACACTTTTTCCCTCCTTGCCTTTTCTATGCCTGACCAATACATTGCCCAAGAAAGGCCACAAAGAATTGGTTTGGCTGCCCTCTGCTTGCACCCTTCCCTGTGTGTGAGTTTGTATTTCATGCATACAAATGGGGGAGTGGACACAGGATAGGAAAGTTGGCCTAACATGACCATAGTCCAGGAGCTCAATACATGATATATCCAAGGCATCTTCTGTCATCTTGGAGACATGTCATTGTTTTTAACATCTCACATGCCACTTAGACACGGGCACATTTTTTGAGTGCCCTCCACCTGGGTTTCCTGTAATTAACAGCCTTGGTACAACCAGAAGGGAACAGAATTCACTGCTAACACATCATCAGCTTTCAAGTAGAGGTTCTTCAGGCAGTTCTCCTGTTTTGTCTCATCTTAAATTCTGTTGCAGCTTCCAAGCATGAAGGACAGTAAGACAGCAGGTATGCTACAGTCTGAAGGAACACTCAGAGAAACAGCACTTTCACAGACTTGAACTGTGCTTTCATGAATTAGAGATACAGAGAGGTATGCATTTATACAAATCAATATTTGTGTATATTAAAGGTACTTTTACTCAGTATCAGGTTTTATTTAAAAACATGCTAAAAACTTATAGTTAAATAATCAGAGTGACATTTGAGGAAAACACACAGACAGCCACCCACCAGCATAAGCAAAAAAAGTGCATACATACATGAGCCAAAGCTCCCTTTGACCAGTTTACAGGACAATTAGTGTCTTCTCTGTCAAACTGATGCAGCCTCACGCTTTCCAGAGCTGATTTTTGTTGCCTGGAAAATCGTATTACTTTTCTGCTCCTTTCAGGATGTCTGTCATCACCTCCTACATCAGAGAGTCAGCTAGAGACACAAATCAGTCCTGCATTTGACTCCCCTCCTGTAGGTGGCTTTATAGAGATGAATACATGAAGCTCATGTAACTATCTCACTTAATACTGTGCTTAAAATGCCAAAAGTAGTCATTAAAAAAAGATTTCAGGATCTATGCTGCTAGATCGTGAAATGGAATGAAGCATTCTAGAAAAATAAGTTTGGATGGAAGGCAAAGTAGCTGAGTTTGCAACTACACATTTCATCTCTGAGTTACTCATAAACATTTTTTATTTCCTTATTACTTTCACTAATATATTTTACCATTTTTGTACAAAAACTGACTGCAGATTAAAATTTAAGATGCGGCAAGTACCACTGTGCGACCCAAAAGGACAGAGCTCCTGCTCAGCCCTGCACCCTGATCTTTTTGAATGCCAGAGAAACCTAGAGAAAGCTAAGCATCTCTGCCCAAAGGGAGAATGCAGTGGAGCCACCAGATGAAAATCATCCTGTCTTTTCTTGCAAAAATGGGAACCCATCTTAGCAACTTTGGATACAGTCTTACATGTAGCAGCAAGTACAGTGGGCATCAGAACCCCTTCTTCAACATGGAACATCCATCTCCAGTGAGGCTCAGATGCTCCTGGTCCCAATTTTTGTTAGAAATGGAAGTAAAACTGGATTCAGTTTCTGTGCTTTCCCTCTGCTTCTTCCCCACTTCCTTCAAAGGCAATCCAAGTGAAATAGCTGAACCCATATGACCTTGTCTGCTTCTGTGGGAAACGAGAGCCCTGTGAAACTTTGGGCATTGTGCTCATATGGGCAAGGGCTGTGCTCTAAGAATAGTAACTCCTTTTTCACTGCAACACCCAAATTCATCTCTATCTCCCACACATTCACACTCCTTCCTGTCACACTGATTTCAAAGGAACTCAAAAAAGTGACACATAGGTCACACTAACACTATTGCTGCCAGATGTACAGATGCATGCAGGACCTAATAGGAAGATAAACAGGGGACTAAAAACTCCCAGATATAAGTGGTTCAACAGCTATTTCAGCCCACAAGGAAAAGATAGGCTGAACAATACAATGAAAATCACATCTTTTTAGAACTTAAAGTATAAATATTCAGACTGGACATTAAGAGAAACCTGTTTACCAGAGGAGTAGTTTGACATGACATGGCTCTGAAAGGCACATAATCTTCATCCTCAATAGGTTCTGAAATTCAGCCTAATAATGTCATAGTGAACCTCATCTCACATATGTGTCAGATCCCCTTTGAGAGTGACATTGAATGAGGTAACCTCTCAAGTTGCACCTGATAGCTGCTTAAGCAAAAAGCAGTGTTCCTTTCAGAGCTGACTCAAGCCTTGACTGAAGTTAAATCAGAACATCCTCCAATGTCTGAGCCTTTCCTTCTTCCTTTCACAAGACAGCAAAAACCTGAAACAGAAGGTAAACGAGGACTCCTTGCAATGAAGAAGCACTCAAATTAGAGAAATACAGGTTCTAATTTTCTAACAGGAATGGTGGTAAAAATATGCATTGAAGTCAACTACCCCAGTGGATGGATTTGGCAATCCACCAGCAAGAAACAATTCTGTACTGAAGGTGTGACAACACATACCATCTCTGAGTGCTGTTTTGGAAATTGCCCCTTTCCTGCATCATCTGGGCACCTTTAATCAAACCACCTTTTCTCTCTCAGGGGGACAGCTGTCTAAGGAAACCCCTTCAATGAAGGGCATGGCATGGCAGTGTTGCCATCAAATTGCCATCCCCTTCCTTCATATCCAGCAGCACGCCATACCTTGGGCAAACTTTTTGAAGTAGACAACACAGTCTGTGAAGTCTGCTGCCAGTAGGTCAGACTGCAGTCTCTCTCCTTTGTGCTAGCAGTAACTTGCTTAATCATTACTTTCAGCTTTCAAAGTAGCATGACAGCAAAGCAGCTAGACACTGTTTTGGGTGAGTAAAGGCATTGGAACTTTGCCTCACAGAAGTAGGAAGCTTATCATCTGGTCCAATGGGAAGGCTTTGCATTCCATCTGAGGCAAGAGTCTCTGATTTTAAAGGACACACCTTTGTTACAGTAAGGGCATCAAGGCCCTGATAAAGGTAGATGATGCCTTCCCATGGATTTGAGAAAAGTTGTCTTTGCCCGCACCAACTGTCAACTCTGAAAAACGTGTCCTCTGGAGATCGCACAGCGGTTCCCAAATTGACGTACAATAAATGGGTAAAACCAAAACCAGTAAGAAGTTATAAGTCAGGCAACTAAATTCTAAGCTATATCCATCATAATAATAATAATCATCATTATCATAATAAAAAAGTATACACCATAAGGTACAAGAAGCTGCAAAGCAAAGCAGCTCCAATTCCTAGGACTCTTAGTTAGAGTGGCTTTTCTGAGTCTTCCAGAAAATTGGACATAAGGGTTGAAAACTTACTGGAAGACTTTGAAGAATTCTCCCTTGAAGTCGAACACACATAATTTTTGCACATATAGCATGGATTAGTAGAGCAAAACATTTTCTTAAGTTAAGAAACATTCTTAGAGCAGAACTATGATTTTGTGTAGAAAATCCATTTGTTTGGGGGGGTTTCCCCCCTCTTTGGCAAATAAATGGCAAATGTGAAACAGAAAAAAAAAGAGTCAAATAACAAGTTGTGATAATAACTGGACAAGTAACAACAAAGTTGGGACGGATTCCTTCAGCAGGGCTAGGCGTGATGCTCTTTGCGGTCATTCCTTGTGTTCATTTTTATGATGAGATAGAAAGGTTGATGTGATAATGTTTCAGAGGTTTTAGGCATCGTATTTTTTGCCAGTCCTGTGAATCTGCTGGAAGAGTGTCATGGAGAAGGCCATGCCAAGAATCTGAAGGAAAACAAACAGTAAGGGCTTTAGTACAGGAAGGCTGCCAAAACTGTACTGCTGAACTGTGTTCATGGACCAGCTGTAGTTTTAAGAGTCATTCTACACTAGCCATATTTTTCAAGCTTCAACACTGAGCAGTAAACTTGAATGTATGTTGTTTGGGCACATACTGATGTCTAGAGAGCAGATGGAGGCAAAAAGCTCTTAGGGCTCTTTGTCATATGTGCGACAATTTTTCAGAATCAATACTTATGAGTCACTTTTTCCTTTGACCCAATGATTTGTGCTCGTTTAGCCAGGTAACTGTGACTGAAAAGATCAGATTCAGGTATTCTCCCCCAAAAGTATAGCAGTGATATAATCACAGAAGATCCTGAGTTGGAAAGGGCCCACAAGGATCAAGTCCAACTCATGGCCCTGCACAGGACAACCCCAAAACTCCCACCATGTGCCTGAGAGCATTGTCCAAATGCTTCTTGAACTCTGGCAGGCTTGGTGTGGTGCCATGTTCCCTGGAACAAGAACCCCAAAACCTTAACAGATCATGATGATACTTCTGCATTTCTTCTTTAAAACATATTGACTTACACAATTCAGTGCCCATGATTTGACTCATTTTGGCAATTGCTAGAACTCGATTGCAAAATTAAACAAAAAACAGTTCCCTAAGGGACAGTGTAACAAATGCCTAAATATGGGAACTCCAAAGTCAAAACAACAAGAACCCCAAAACCTTAACAGATCATGATGATACTTCTGCATTTCTTCTTTAAAACATATTGACTTACACAATTCAGTGCCCATGATTTGACTCATTTTGGCAATTGCTAGAACTCGATTGCAAAATTAAACAAAAAACAGTTCCCTAAGGGACAGTGTAACAAATGCCTAAATATGGGAACTCCAAAGTCAAAACACAGGTAAGCAAAATCCCACTGTAGCATGTCTTCATTGCAGGACTGACTACTGACTTGATTCCCTCCTGAGCAGATGGCCTTAAATGAACTCATGAAACAAATCTGACATTTTTGAAATAATATTCTAACTCAAAGCAGCTGAGCATCACTTTTCACACAGCAGACTCAAGAATGCTGACAACAGATCAAAGCCATGTGGACAAACTTCATACTGGTATTACCTGCATTATGAGGATGCACATCCCAACTGAACCAAGGACATGCTTGTTCTCATCAAACCAGGTCATAACTCTCTCATAACATCCCTGAAATGATGAAAGATGATAATTGAAACCCCAAGGTCACATTTTCTTTCATGCATATTTCCTCTATTTTCTTCCTTCCCACCCCTACCTAAGACTTGCATTGGGCAAAGTGAGCCTTACCGTTTTCCACACTAATTCAGTTGAGTTCCGTCCACAGTCTTGGGAGTTTTCTGTACAACATCGGTCTGGGACAATGTTTTCTCCCAGCACTGGGTACCAATCTGTAAAGTCATTCACACCACAGCATTTCATCTGTGCAAAAGCAAAGGATTAATAAACTAACCAGCACAATTTGCAAATCAAACAACCATAAACTTTTATTTCCATCAAGCCACTGTATGTTTTCAAAAGGGCTGCTGCAACACTTGTAGTTTTTAAGTGCTTTCTTGTCACTGATCACTAAAAGCAAGTACTTAAAAACACAAATGAAAAACAAAACCAAAGAAAATAAATGGTTCTGCACCCGAGGTTATGTTAGTCTTCTTGTCACAGAGACATGATCCCAGACACCAAAACATAAAGTAATCTGTCCACAAATGCTGAACAGCAAATGCCTAGCTGCAGTTCCACCTGTGCAGGCTCTGCTGCCTCTCCGGTGTTTCAGATCGTCTCTATGCCTGTGATAGGCACAGAAAATCTCAGGCAGGTGACTGTCTTTCATCTTACAGATTACACCTTGATCCTGGGATCCCTGGATGATCAAGAGTGCAAAATCAAAAACCAAAGTCTGCATCAGCTATCTTTTAGAGTTGACAGACTGCAGCATCCTTGATGACCAAATAGTATTTTTTTTTCTATTGAGAAAACATGTTACCTCTGCTTGAATGATATTCCATGCATTTTTCAGTCCAACATTATTTTCTGAGTTGTATAGCTTCATACCTTCCTTCAAATCCTTCTTTGCACTCTCACTGACCTGCACCATGTAAAAAATAGAGTAAGTCAATGCATTGCTGTTTAGAGGAAAGCACCAAATGGTAGAGATACACATATAGAATGTCTGTCTCTTACCTTCTCTCACCCCAAACTTAATATGGGTAGAAAAGCTTCAAGACTCTCACAAGTCAGCATCTGCCAAGGCCTAATCTCTCTCTGAGATTGCAAAATACTGGATTAATTCTCTTGAGATAGGAGACCTCTGCTAAGAGTCCATCATATAGTCATCATCTGATTTAAACTAATTGAACATGAACAGCAGAAATCTGCTGATCTTACTTTAACCGCGCCAGAGATAGCTGTTGGCAGTACCTCACAGCAGCTTCTCCTGCCTGTAACCTATGGCCTACTTTAGTTTGCTAATAACATAAAACCAGAGTCCTGGCCTCCCAGCCTTAACATTTATCCTTGCATGCGTTCAGGCAGGCCAACACAATATCAACCATAAAAGGGCATTACTGTTGTTCTCCTTGTGGGGACAGGCTTGTAGGATTTATGATTTTCGTATGTGCTCTTCTTTCTTTAAAGAAGAAATTTGGAATGCTTAATGGGAGATCTGAGATGTCACATTTCTTGTATAAATTTCAGTCTGAGCCCAGAGTCCTGGATACAGGTAGGAATGTACCTTGCTTCTGACAGTAGTGAGATGGCAGCAGAGAAACTTTCATGGTTCTGGCATAAAGGTCAACTACATTATAAGATCTGTTTCATCCCTCTTTGACATCCCATTCAAAATCAGAAGTTCAACCCAGCTCCCTGAAAATAGCTGGCATCACAATGACAGCCTGAGAACAGATACAGGTCTGCTAGGAGCTGTTCAAAACAAGCCTGAACATGCTCATACTCTAAGTCTCTGTCCTGTGTTTAGCAGAGTTCTTCAGTTCCGCAGGCACTTCTCCAGTCATACCTATCTGACAGGCCAGCCAGCCATGCCTACCTCACTTAGTCTCTATGATATAGCTGATTCCTGCAGATGGGCTTTATGGGAAGCTGCCTCTTGATCCACTCCACACGCTTGCCTAAATCTCTAGGACTGCCCAGTCAAGTGGGACAACTGGTGGCATCTGGAATAACCTGTGAATACCCCATGCCACTCTCCTCCAGGCCTGTTCAAGAGTTGGCCCTAAGAAGCCAACCAGGTTTTAAGTAGGAACTCCCACAACCCAGGTCCACAAGATGATCAACTTCCTGCAGAAACATCAAACAGCTACGCTGAAGGCTATGTTAGCTTTTAGAAACTAAAAGGGAGGCCCTGGGCCATGGTTTTATATCAGAGATTTCTCTCCTGCTTGCTCTCCTCATCACTTCCTCCTCCCCTTTGAGAAGCAGCTTACAGAATATGGCCAAAGATCTCAAGGTTAAACCCTCACCAAAGTGAAGATCAAGGAGAACCCAACACCTCTATCAAACAAAAACAAGCTGAACCCAGTTTACATGCTAGTAAAGATGATTAATATATATGGCGTATTTGCTTACCTTGTCCATATAAACAAAGAACAAAATGAGTAATATCAGCTCTGCCAGAAGAATTATCAGCAAAACGATGAAAAACTAGAACAAAGGAAAAAACAACAGTATATATATATATTTGCCAAATAAAGAGCAAATCCAAGGCTTCTAGAAACTCTGAAAGATATTGACCTTGTCCTCTAAACCTTACTGCCAAAGACATGCAAGTTTGATTTCAAACTGTTCAGATGTATTGATACTATATTGCCACTAAAGCTTCTGTGGATTTCACCATCAATGAAGCAAGCTCACAGTCTAGCATTCTCTAAATCTCAGGTTTTGCCCTACTACCAGTTTGCAGGTTTCAGCCATGCTTTTATCTTGCTGCTTTTGACTGCTGGCACAGCACACAGCTCTGGTAGTCTCTTTCCTTCATACAGACTACAGAACAGATGCTAAACCCATTACCACCACACAGATGAATGTGACATGCTTCAGGAGTGATTCCCTAGCAGGTGGGATTTAACCACATCTGACAGTGGAATAGTCATTATATTACTCAGCACTTCTGTTCCCAACTCTCCGTATCTGAAATCTCTCTCTGCAGGGGCATCCCAAGTGTGAGTTCTAGTAGCTTCTTGCTACTTTTCATGCCTGCTATACACCTTTTTTCCCCATGCCTTTATGCACTAGTAGACTGCCACAAAAACATGGCACCTGCCCCCTAGACACTGGGAGAGGAGCAATATGCAGCACAGCTAGCTCTCCAATTATAAACTCATGATAGCCATGATCATATAAAAAGACTTTTGCAGAACCTTGTAAGAATATAAACACTCTTCAAAAAAATTAAGCTGGTGTTGTGGTTTGTGTGCGTGAATGACATTGACCTCATTACTATTCTCTGTTTGCTTTCCTAGCTGTACAACATACAAACCCAAGCAATCAGGTAACAAAAACCAGATGTGCATTTTCCCTCCAGTTTAATTCTGTGGTGGTTTAAGGAATGCTGCCCAGCTGTTCCTCAGCATCAAGTAAGGAAGACCTTTGCACAAGGGAAACATGCTCCTTAATGTCATAGCATCTGTATTCATAAGCCGTGACTGAATTGGAAGCTGTCTGCTTTGAAAGCCCTCCTCTCACCTTCTGCCAGAATATGTCCCTCCTTGGAGTGGAGTTCTCCTCCCTCATTATTTTTTTGGGGGGTGGGGGATATTTTTATGGGAGGATCTTATATATCCCCCCATATAGTCTCCTATCATTAGCCAGGGAGGCTAATAATGAAGCCTCCTGGTTTTATGCAAGAGGAGTGACCCACATTATGTTTTATGAGAGGGGTTCCCAACCTCTGTGCTTGAGTGCTGGACAAAGACTGCCAAGAATCAGATTTTTTTTCTTTAGTTTTTACTGATAAGGTCTGGCAGAAACCATGACCTCTTAACTTTGGATCAGGTGGTTTCCATCATCCTCTGACAAAGGCCTTAGATAAGGGCAATGTAGAAACAAGCCACGAGAGGCTTTGAACAGCTCTGTGCTTAAGATTTTTTCAGTCAATCTTTCCAAAAGACATTTCCAGAAGGGCTGTCCAGGTTGATCCTACAGTTCATGCTTAACCATTCGGAGCTAACTGCCAGTAATTGGCTTTGCTACCTAATACATTAGGGCACATAGTAACATGGATACATGTGCTAATGCACCACTGATATCACTGTGACGAAAGCTGTGGGATGTCACACTGCAGGCATACACAAGACTGAAAGCAGAGGGCAATGTTACAGTGAGCCACAAGACTATTTTGCAATGGTCATTCAAATAAAATAATAACAAAACAACAGTCACTGGTCTTAGTGGAAAGAAGTATTGATGTCTTACGCTCAACAGGAGGCACTTGTTTTCCTTGATAGCACCTAGGCAGCCCAGAAAGCCAGTCACCATGATCACTGTGCCAATGGCAATGACTAGATTGGCAGCTGAAAGCGACGGAAAGCTAGGAGAAAACGTGGCGAAGTTTCCTTGTGACACTGACAGCCAGATGCCCACACCCAGCAGACCACAGCCACATAACTGCAAAGAGACAAACAAAAGAAAGGTTTCACCATTAATATAAATGCCTCTGTCTCCTTCCTCTGCAACCCTGAAAAGAAAGAATTTCACAGGCAAATTCTCAGGTGGGTGCTCTGCAGTAATGCTTTCACAGGCTTGGTGCTGAAACAAAATGAAACTGAATGTTCTTACTTAGACTTGGTCATGTCACCTATACTTATAATTCTATTTAAAAGCCGCTGGATTGCAGAATTCTCTTTTTAAAGACTTAGCACATGAAACCAGGGCTACCCACTGACCTCCCAACAGCAAAACCCAATGCAATTTTTCTGAAGGAACATAAAAATACTTTCTGAAAGAATGTTCCATTGCAGTCATCTGCAGTGTCTCAGACTATTCAGCCCTGTATTGCCTCATCCTAGGGGAGGCAAGTAAATACTGGAGATAATTACAACCAATAGCATAATTTCAAAAAAATTTGTCATTAAGTGCCCAGTCCCAGTCCCCAGGTTGGGTTTTAGTATGAGTTCTCATAGCTTTAGTGTTGTTTGCCAGTGCTAAATGTCACAAAAATCAGATTTCTAGGTTCATTATCTACAGGAAGCTTAACTTCTGCTACTCTCTGTCAGTGAGAGAACCTGAAAGAAATGCAAAACTACTAATAAAATATAACATTAACTTCACTTTGCTTCTCACTTTTAACAGTATCCTGTCTGGTCAAGGAAATAAGGTTTCCCATCCTAAGCCACAGGGCAGGTCTTCAGAACAAGGTCTGAGTGTTGCACTTCAGGGGGCCTAAAAGCTGCCCATCTTTTAGTACTTGCTCAAAATGACCATTATACAACTTCCCATCTGATCTGTGATCGCTCTGCAGTGAAATCTGAAGTAAGAGTTAGTTGCATTTTCATTAAATCTGTGAGCTACTCTATAGTACTATTGCAATTTTCTGCCAAATCTAGCCTTTGCCAGAGGTGAAATTCACATCATCTTCACTAAGAGGGGATCAGACTACAACCTCCCACCCCCAGTTCAGAGTATTTTTGCTCCAATTTACTTGAACCCACTGTACAGGAAAAACAAAACTGCACCTAATCATTACTCACAGGGATATGCCAAAGCTGCTGGTGCTCACCTATATGTCAGCAGTGAGGAACAAGAGGACCAAAAGTTCTTGCCATCCAGCAGGTTCCCCAAACCACACAACCCCCCCAGTCATGCTTGTTTACTGAAACAGGAAACAGAATGTCAGAGAACAGCACCTCCAATAAAGCAGGGTTCACTCCTGCCTTGTGGTGAGCACTAATCTGGCATGATGAAGAGCTACAGACCTAACCTTTTTGGTAAATATCCCTACTCCTGTCTGAGGTTATTTTACCAGCGGGGCTGATAGTTCAGGGTACAACTGGCTTCTTTTGGTTTTACTGCTTCACAGAATGTAAAAGAAAAACTAGAATAGCATCTTCTTGTAATTGCATCACCTAAACTATGAGACAGGCTTATGTTTTTATAGTCACATTCATGGCTATTTTCTTTATCTTCCCCTGTGACCCTTCTGTCCCCTCTGAGCCTGCTTCCTAGTTTGCTTGAAGCTTTTGAAACTGTTTTGCATCTAGGGAGATTCACCAGTTCAGTGAAGAACTGTGACCAGGAATAGGCCTTATGAAACATGATCACAGGCATTCCCGAGGGAGGCAGAGTAAAGCATCTCCCGATGTACTAAGTCCACATCTCCCAATGTACTAAGTCCATCATGCAAAGCATAAAAATATAGGGTTATGTAGGGAGAGAAAAAGAACAGGAGATGGAGATTAACTGTACTGCATTGGTGGTAATTTCCACACCCATTTTTGCACCTAAGCTTTTGTTTAGCAATCTGGAAAAAAAACCCCACATGTGTCTGAGGCTCACAAGCACATGCATTGAGTAACACAGAGGAAATTTTCAGCATTCTTGTAAGGAGACTGGGAAGCACCTCTGCTTTCAAAACTCAACACACAATAACTCCACAAAATAAGTTGGGGAGCTTAGCATCACTGGGTATGGATAAATGTCACAACATCTGTTTCCTGTAACAGAGCTGGATGCAGCTGCAACATGAGTGTGTATAGCAGGGAAAAGTCAAACACCTACTATCCCTTTGAAAAGATTGGTACAAAACATACACACGTGTGTGGCAGGAGAGGGCTGCAGGACTTTAATCTCTTTCCTCAAATCCATCTGCTCCGATTAATACTCTTGAATTGATTTCTCATTGCCTTTCATGGTATGTGAGTAAGGTCAATGTGAACTTGGGAGTAGCAGGCAGCTTCAGGGGGATGCAAAACACAAACCTCCTGATCACATTTTGCTGCAGGACCCAGTGAATATCACCACAGGTTTAAACTGTCTGCAGTTCATGGCATCAGCCACCCTATTTCTTCTGCTTTAAATTTCATCTACTCTGCCCTTGAATTGCTGCAGTTTTGGTGCCTCAAGCCCACTCAGGAATCTGCTCTGTGGCTCAGCTGTTTCCACAGTTAAATGAGAACTGCAGGCAGTTGCTGAGGCTGAGAGCTTAATGGTTCAGGAGGTCAGAAGCAGCTTTCACCACACAACATTCATTTAAGGTATTAAATAGCATTTCTAAGCTGCCAGGGCTGCCAGTGCCATTAGCTGATGGCACTTCAATCAGTGACTTCATGACACTCCATGGTGTGACTGTAAATGTTTCCAAAGAAGTTTCTACCAAAGACTGAAATTGTTCAGCGTAACTTTCCATCAGAACTTGAATTCAGACTTTAAAGGTCATTCACAAATGTGTTCCTTGGACTTTCATACTCTATTAAGCTTACAAATCACAGCCCTAGCTCAAGTGTTTTGAAAGAGTGCAGAGAATTCTGGAATCATCAGGTCAAAAGCAATAGATCACTGCAGATAAACAAGGTGGTAGTATGAGCAAGATCAGGGCAAAAGGCTTACAGAGGAAGGAAGGACAAAGTAAAGGACAAAAAGGAGCACATGTGATCAATAGAAAAAACAGCCCAAGAAGAGTCATACCTCAGGATCCAATGCCAATTATGAGATAGTAGAGAAAGAAGCCCTTACCAGCATTTCTTTACCCTTCTTTTCTGAAGCACAATCCTTGACAGAGATTGGGTCTAGAAAAGGCTCATGTTTATGTCTATTTAGACAAAGTTAGAAGCAGCTAATTGCTTAGATGAGGGAAAGGAGAGCTACCTTCAAGTGTAGGAAATCAGGAAAGCAACAGGCCCATTGATGCTCCATGGGATGGACATGAAGACAAAAATAAGGACCAAGAGCAGAAGGAGAATCACAGCTGGGGAGCAGAAAAATAGACAGATGGCCTCTGTCCCTTTGGCAGGGTCTCAGTTCAGGAGACCCTTTATATACACTTCCAAACAGGGCAGATCATTTCTTCACTTTCTTGTGGTAGCCACATTAGTGTTTTGGTAAACTGAGGAGCAAAACATTTTGCTTTTTGGCAGAAGACCAGTCACCTGCACCTTCACCTTTCCATAATGCTTTGAGCACTTGATGTGATATGTTTGCAACAAAGGTCTGGTGGATGTGCCACACACCTGTGCTGTCCCTGGGCAGGCCACTATGCAGATGCAACTTGAATGCCAGATGTGTGAACACGCTGGGAGAAGAGTCCTTTACAATGCGAAATGAAGTGGTATGTCAGCTGAGGCTGCAGACATATCCACCTTTGCTCTTTTCTTCCTGCAATTCTAATGTCCCACTGAAGACGACCGTGGGATAACTCCTTTCCAGTTGCTGTAGAGATTGGGTAACATGCCAAAGTGCAAAATGTGATTACAGTTCCATTCAGAGCTTTCTGACAACATGCATTAGTGCAGTACCACAAGTATACCACCACAGTATCTGCACTGATCATGCTCTCACCATAGCTGATGCCGAAGCTAAGCAAAGTTCTCCTTTAAACAGACTTTTTACCTCACAAAGTAAGATTTCTCCACCCCTAAATTACACTGAAAGTTCAAATTATGTAAAAAATCAGGTGATGGGAGCGGCTATTGTGGATCAAGTCCGATCTATGCAAGTAGGATTATCTACAGTGACTGAAGATAGTAAAAAGTCAGGAACACTTGATAAAAGACATGACATTCTAACACCTTCCACAAGGTGGCATCCCATACCAAAGAGCACTAACAGTTTGAAACAAATTTAATATTTCTCTCCAGAGCTCCTCGATTTTTGTGGTTTATTCTCTTTATCTCTGTCATTTTCTTGAGAAGCAGTACTGTGGATGCTAAAATTTATGCTTTAAACCTCAGATCCCATGACAAATGCTTTTTTCACTCGTGCTGCTTAAAAAAATCCCAAATAATTCCACTGACATGGGACTTAATTGCATACAACCATATCAACCAAACCTAGCTAGAACTCTAGCAATAAAATACCTTTCCCTGACACTTTATTCTATACCAATCCCGTTTTTTATGCAACATGAACACTATAAAAATGCTCTGACAGCTATTTATTCTCACAGGACCCACCTCTTTCTATTTGGAACAACTGAATCCTAGAGGGTGAAAGGAGCAAAAATATATCAAGCCATCTTACTAATTCCTTTTTCACCATATAATTAAATAATATATGCGGCTTGGTATTTAATTGTGTGAGAGTGATGGCACTGACATTCCTTCCCCAGAGAAATGGTTTAACAGCGTAATAAATTTCACTGGATTTTTCTTCTCAAAAAATGTTGGCTTGTTTCCCCCTCTTGATTAGAAATCATCATCCTCCAGGCAACCATCAAATCTCTCCTTCCCCTGGTGTTTATGTCACTGCAGAACACTCTCATAAAGTCACTCACTTTTACTTATAGGGTAATTTAGTCAAGCTGTGATACATATTTTGAGCTTAAAAGCAAACAAAAGGAATACCAACTTTCTTCACAGGTTCTCCTGCACTTTGCTGTTTCACTGATCAAAATCTGAATTCTCTTCAGTACCTCAACATCTACCTGTCGTCATCACTTTTCCCACAAAACATAC